CTCACCACTTGCAAGTGCTATTTCCATCCAGTAGTAGAACATTGTAGCCAATTTCTGCCATTTTCTACAGTTTCCAGTTGCATGTGCTTCATTTCCGTCTGAGCCCTCACAGGTGCCTCTTAGTGTGCATATTGCTACCAGCATCATTCTCTTTGTTACGTATTCTCTAAGAGGACAGCAGCTCTCTTTAGCACGCCTTCTCCAGCATCATCTCTTTACTTATACTTGTAGTCATCTCTCCAAGGAATCTAGCATTTAATTTTCATACCCCTTAGCATTCTTTCAGCCTCTAATCATTGTCCAGTTCCTAAACCATTTCCACATTTTAGGTACGTGTTGCCCCTTCCTGATGCTGGAATCTTCATTTCTTGTGACTGCTATAACACAGTGTTACACACTAAGTGGCTTAAAACAGCAGAAGTCTATTGTCTCAGTTCTGGAGATTAGAAGCCCAACTTTGAGGCATTGGCAGGGCCAGAGCCTATGAAAGAGTCACTCCTTGTTTCCCTAGCTCTGGTTTATGACTACATCATCACAGTCTGCCTCCATCCCTCCAGGCTACCAACCCTGTGTGCCTGTGTCTTTCCTTGCAAGGACACCAGTCCTATTGGAGTAGGACTGCCCTAATTCAGCATGGTCTCCTCTTAACTAATTACCTCTGTATCGACTGTTTCCAAGTAGGTCACTTTTCTGAGGTCTGAGGATTCAGACATGGATGTGTCTTTTGGAGGGGGGCACAGTTTCACTTGTATCAGTGGCCCTATCGTTTCATTGTCACGGCTAAGCTAGATATTCTGTGCTGCTGAGCACTTGCCTGGCAGGGGCGGCTGGTGCAGGCACATGTGGGAGTCCTTCCTCACGTGGTGCCAGGTAGCATAACCCATGAGCCTGAGTCTTGTTCAGTTGGGCTTGGCCTGTTCTTGCTGACACCTTCCCTTTTCAGGCCATGCGGACCCTCAGCTGGAAGCATACCCTGGGCCTGGTCACCATGGATGTTGAGCTAGCCGACCGTACCCTATCTGTGGCAGTGACCCCTGTGCAGGCAGTGGTCTTACTGTACTTCCAGGACCAAGGTGAGCTCATAAGCCCCCTCTTATTCTGCCCTTTGGCCAGGGCCAGGCACTACTCTCTGACCAGCTGTGCAGTGAGGCACTGCCCTCCAGTGTGGGCAGGGTTGGGGCAGCCCTGGACCATGCAGGCAGTAGCCCCTTCCCTTTTCCAAGGGGCCAGGTAGGACGGTGTGGGGCCCAGTGACCTCTGGGAGACCCAGTGGGCTGGCAGGAGGCAGCCTCCTTCAGTGTGCCCAGTGTCCCTGCGGCTCTGCACACAGCCAGCTGGACCCTGGAGGAGCTGAGCAAGGTGGTGAAGATGCCTGTGGGACTGCTGCGGCGCCGTGTGTCTGTGTGGCTGCAGCAGGGCGTGCTACGGGAGGAGCCTCCTGGCACCTTCTCTGTCATCGAAGAGGAGCGGCCTCAGGACTGCGACAACATGGTGCTCATAGACAGCGATGATGAGAGCGACTCAGGCATGGCCTCCCAGGCTGACCAAAAGGAGGAGGAGCTGCTGGTGCGTAAAGAGGCTGTGGTGGACTGGGGGCAGTCCCAGTGGGCGGCCTGACTGACAGTGCCTGTGCTGTTCCCAGCTCTTCTGGACGTATATTCAGGCCATGCTGACCAACCTGGAGAGCCTCTCGCTGGAGCGTATCTACAGCATGCTCCGCATGTTTGTGATGACCGGCCCTGCGCTGGCCGAAATCGACCTGCAGGAGCTCCAGGGCTACCTGCAGAAGAAGGTGCGCGACCAGCAGCTCATCTACTCAGCGGGCGTCTACCGCCTGCCCAAGAGCTGCAGCTGATGCCCCCCACACAGCATCCCTGCCTATGTGACCACCTGGGTGGAAACCCCGGGGGGCATGCTCTATCCCCATGTCCCTGTCAAACCCCCCCCCACCAAATCCTACACGCCTGCCCAACTCCCTTCTCCCCACTGACCCTGCCCTGTCATCTACCCAGTCCAGTCCCCACAGTGCATATTAAAGCAGGTGAGTTCATCTTTCCATGTCCTGGTGGCTTTGTGGGCTTTGTGAGAATCAGACATATCCTGGTTCTCTCTCTTGACTGGCTGCTCTACCTCAGCTCTTGAGGGCACAGCAACAGGTGAAGGAACCATCCAAATAGCCAGGCCCACCCCAGGCTTGCACATCAGTGTTTGGACTTCAGGCATCCCGAAAGTGTCCTCTACAGCTAGCCATGAGGATCAATGTCTGGGGTCTGTAGTTTGGGCAGGAGTAAGCAGTGAACAGAGTTTGACTACCTGGAGTCCCCTTGAGGTGCTTGCCAGACATCCACCTTCATTTCACTCTTGTTCTTTTTTTTTTTTTTTTTTGTGGAACTGGGATTTGAACTCAGGGCTTCACGCTAGCAAAGCAGATACTCTATCACTTGAGCCACACCTCCAGTCCTCATCCCACTCTTTTGGGCTTTGAAAGGAGCTCTTGTCTGTGCAGCCTGTGTTGGGGCCCATGCCAGGCCGGGAGCTGATGGGACACGGGAACTCTATGAGCACCTCCAAGATGGAAGTCACCTCAGTCAAGAGCTTTCCATGTCCCCAGCACTCAAGGGCTGCTTGAGGACATGCCCTGGTGGCCAGAGCAGTTAGCTTAGGCCATGGCGCTCGGTGCTCATGAGTGTGCACTCAAGCAGACTCCTCCTTGTCCCCCAAACCTGTGGTCACAGGTCAGGGTCCAGCCACCCTTGCAGTTGGGCTCTGTCACAGAAGCCAAATGGAGAGAGGCCCCATCACTGTCCTCATCCCTTGGATCCACACTGGCCTGAGAGGCTTTAGGACTTGCTCTGGCCTTCCAGTCCCTGAGCTGCTTTTCTCCAGGCAGGAAGTGCTCTGGCTCAAGGCATTGTCCTCCAAGAAATAAAGATCCTTTGGGACCTTTGCCTAGGTATTCTGCCCAAGGTGCATTCCCAGATTAGGAGCTGCACCTAGTGTCACCTGCTTCCGTGTCCCCAGACACCTCTCCTGATACCCTCACGTCCACTGAGAGGGCTACGGAGCCATGCTCCTCACCCATACCCAGCACTCTGGTCCTGAGAACCAGTCCCCTTCCAGGGTTTCCCCTCTTCCTTCTTGTTCTGCTCACCTCGGGATTTGAAGGACAGACCAAGTCATAGGCACACAGCCTTGCCATCACTGATAGGAGGGCTCGTTTCCTGCACCACCTGCTCCATTTCACCCCAATGCTGTCCTTGTGCTGTCATGAGAAGAGGCCTGAGTTATGGTGGCAGGGGTCCTGAAGGGTCTGGTACCCACTGTTCCCTCTATGAGGTGTCCTTGTTCAGATCCTGCCCTCTATGGCCACCACCTGGCCCCAGGTGGGTGTGCCTTTGTCCTGACCAGGATGTAAACCTGCCGGGCTGGCCTGGCAGGGTGACAGTGCCAGCCTCTGGCCTCAGGCACACCTTCTACCCTGCATTCCTTTGGATTCCGTTTCTGTGTCCTAAAGACCAGGGAAGGTCTGGTCACAACATCACTCAACAAGCTCAAAGGCTGTGCCAAGAACTGCTGGCCGGTTCCCTGATGACCCCAGCAGGAGGACACCTGCATCTATAGTTAGGGAGGTCCCTATGACCAGGGCCACTAGGGTCAGGCCGTGCCCTCCCCCTACAGTGGCAGGGCTGGCATTTCCTCCTGCTGCTTCAGTGGTTTGCTTGGCAGGACTTTCGGGGAGGAGAGGAGGCAGCAGGTGTGGCTGCATCCCAGCCTGGAACAGCAGGTTCAGGGAAGAGCTGTAGGTTAACTCTGACCATGCGAGCTCACAGGTGACCGGTTGCTTCAGGTGGTCTACAAACCTCAGAACACTGGGCTCTAACTCGAATGATGAGAAGGCTAGAGCCTGCAACCATTTCGGAACCACCTGCTCCCAGAGGGGGATGTTCCTGTAGTGGCCTGGGTTCTGCCCAGGCAGATGTGACCACTGCCTCTACCCACTTCCGATTTGGGGTCCCTTCAGGTGCCAGCAACCCTCTGAACTTGAGCTTTGCCAGCAGTGTGGGCCTGGCTCTCCCCAAAACAGCCAAGAAGGGCAGCTGAACACATCTTCCCCCACCCCCTCTTGCATCTCCTGCTGCCCTTCTTGGCCCTTACCTGCACTACCCCTTGGGGGTGGTGACCTACTGTTGGCTGGAGCCCAGACCTGTCTCTGAGTCTTGAAGCTCTTATGCTGAGAGGGAACCAAGGCCATAATCCCCCACACCAGAGGCCAGAGTACACCTTCACTGTGAAGCACTGCTCATCTTCAAGGCCCCATCCCTACCATTTCCTGCCTCAGATCTGGCCAGAGTTCCCAGGCCCCTGTCAGCCCTACCTTCTTATCACAGGACTGCCTGTTCAGGGCTCCTGGAATCCTGGAGCTCCAGAGTGAGTAAAGCTGGCGAGTAAATCTGTGTGCTCTGAGGCCCTGCCCCCACCCTCCCTGCCTCACAGCCCATTGTGATGTCAGCACCTTCCGACGAGTTCTGTCCAGAGGTGTGCAGTGGGGCTGGGGGCTGGACATGGCCCCCTGTCCCCAGCCTAACTCCTACCCGGCTGGCAGTCTGGGCCTGATATGTTTGTCCCTTTTGCTCATCCCTGCTGCAGGTGCCTCCTCTGTCCCTGGCCCCCCAACCAGAGCCCCTCCCTTTTCTAGGCAGGGCCAGCCCATCTGTCTTCTGATGGCTGCTGGGATAGGGTGGATGTGGGGGTCCTCTACAGGCAGGTGACCTGCTCCTGCCTCATGGCCCTGTCTCTGCAGCTGGAACCTATTGTGAATGCAGCCTTGGCCTCAGCAAAGAGGCTCTCATTTCCCTCATTGTGCTGCTGGCCGGTGTTAGTGCCAGCTGCTTCTGCGCCCTCATCGTCGTGGCAATTGGCGTCTTTCGAGCCAAGGGGTGCGTGAGCCCCTGTGCTGGAAGCTATGCTGCTGGCTTTTTGTCATGCTTTAATGGGCCACTGTCCCTTGGGTGGGATGTCATGAGGGGCTGGAAATGACATTTCCCAGGGTGTACATTGGGGAGGGGGTATTCTGGGGCACTACTGGGCTCACTGAGCCAGCATTGCCCCAGCATTCACACCTATCTTTGTCCCTTCAGTGAAACATGTCCCGGACACATGGACAGGAGGTGAGTGCCCAGGGAGGTCTTAAGGGTGAGCTGAGTCCCCTCTCTACTCCCTTGCCGGAGGTACTTGCTCACGATGGCATTGAGAGCACTGTCCCTAGGAAATGGTCTGCCCTGGGTGGCTAAGACCCTGCCAGCCTGGGCTGACCCAGTCCACATCATGCAGATTAGTGGGGCACTTCGGGGTCCAGGAAGATCGCATGGACCTGCACTCGGTGCACGTGGAGTCCCACCTCATGGACCCTGATGTGGAGGTCTCCATGATGCCGTCCCTGGAGGACCAGCGCCTACTGACCATCCCAATGGAGTCTTCCAGAGAGGATTCACCTCCACCCCCACCCCCACCAATACAGTAGGGCGGAGGGCAGTGGGGTAGGGGAATTAAACAGTATTTAGTGGTTGTGCGCTGTCCTCCTTGCAAGCTCCCAGAGTGCCTTGAGGCTGCATCGTGGTGTGTGTGCTGGAATGGGTAGGTGGGGACAGGAACCACACCCTTGGGGTTTCCACCTCCAGGTGCAGCTGGCTAGCCCAGCTCCCTGCAGCTTCCTGCTGCTTTGTCCCAGGAAGCAGGCAGGGACTCTGGGCACGCCCCACCCACACCCCAAGACAGGAACTGTAGTTGATGGAAGGACCTAGGCTGACACCCTATCTCCATTTACAGTCTCCTTGGGGGTTCAGGGAGGGGGGTGAGGTTCCAACTCTCCTACACTGCCTTCCTTGCCTCAAGAGTACAGCCCTTCCTCCACCTGAGCCTGGGCCTGTCCCCTGAGCTCAAGCCCCATCTTAGGCTTGTGACTCCACCAATCATCCAAAAGAATGGGCCTGTCTCATTTTCTTGACAGGGGTCCCTTTACCAACCCCCAGTGGGAACCAGGACTGGGGTGTGGAGCAGGGCACGCACGCTAGGTTGCATTCTATGTGGATTGGTGGGTATGAGTGGGTGTGGTCCTGCAGGTCAGGCCTCAGAGCTGTGCCTGGTGGTCTCATCAACGCAACAGCGGGCGCCGAGCCAAGAGCCTTGGGCTCTGGGACAGGTGGCTGGCAGTGCCGGGCGTTGGCCGTGGGCCTGGCCCCCGCCCCAGGCGTGGGACAGGAACTGCCGGCCGGACAGTTCATACTCCTGCAGGCACCGCAAGGACGAGCTCTGGGACGCCCAGGCTCCAAGGACGCACAGGCAACAGGACCTCCACCTTTCGACCCCGAGCTTCCCCCATGCGGAGCCCCTCCTTTTTCCCGCGGCCTCAGCCGCTACTGTTGCTGCTGCTGTTGCTGCTTTCTGTGCGGTCAGTCTGGGCCCAGGAGCCCACCGGCGCCGCCCTCTCGGGCCCCCCGGTGGTCCCCGACTGCCCCGAAGCGTGCACTTGCGCTCTGGTGGGCCAGGCCAATTGCTCGGCACTAGCGCTGCCCGCCGTTCCCGCGGGCCTGAGCCGGCTACTGCGCGAACTGCTGCTGGACCGCAACCGCGTGCGCGCGCTGCCGCCCGGCGCCTTCGCGGGGGCGTGTGCGTTGCTACGCTTGGACCTCCGCGAGAATGGGCTGCGCTCGGTGCACTTGCGGGCTTTCTGGGGTCTGGGCGCGCTGCGATGGCTCGACCTGAGCGCTAACCAGTTGGAAACACTGGAGCCTGGCACTTTCTCGCCGCTGCGCGCATTGCGTTCCCTCTCACTGGCGGGCAATCGGTTGGCACTCCTGGAGCCTGCGGCGTTGGGGGCACTCCCGCTGCTGCACGCGCTCAGCCTGCAGGACAACGCGCTGTCGGTGCTCGCGCCTGGCCTGCTGGCTGGCCTGCCTGCCCTCGACGCGCTGCGCCTGCGCGGCAACCCCTGGGTCTGCGGTTGTGCGCTGCGCCCGCTCTGCACCTGGCTGCGCCGGCATCCGCGTTCCGCGTCAGGTGAGCAATCGGGGATCGCATTCTGGATAGTGATTGGCGAGTCTGCCGCGGTTGCCTGACGCCATGCCTGTATCCCGCAGAGGCCGAGACCCTGCTCTGTGTGTCGCCAGGGCGCCAGACTCTTAGCCCCCTGACCGCCTTTTCCGATGGCGCCTTCAAACACTGCGCGCAGCCGCTCGCCGCGCGGGACCTGGCGGTGATCTATGCTCTCGGGCCTGTCTCCTTCCTCGCCAGCCTGGCCACCTGCCTGGCGCTGGGCTCCGTTCTCACCGCCTGCCGTGCGCGCCGCCGCCGCCGCCGCCGCACGGTTGCCCGCCGCCCACCGAGGAGACCGCCAGACCCCGGACCCGACTTTGACGGCCCAGCCTCCTCCGCGGACCCTGGGAGCCCAGCTGCCCAAGCCTGAGCGAGCTGCGTTGCCCTGGGCGGTCTCCCACTGTCCTGTGCCCTCAAAACTCCCCGAACCCCTTATCTCCCCGTCACACTTCCTGCAGGCGTCAACAAGTGACACAGACCGAAAAACTTCGTGACATTCCTTTAGACATCACCACTGAATACGGGGATGGGGTGCGCACCCGGGCCCCTGGGACGGAAGGGCAGCGCGCGGCTGCGCACTAGGAACACGGGGAAGTCAAGGGCTTGAACACTGGAAGGGCTGGTCCTGTACAAGGTGGTTGGTGGATGACACCTGAAGCGAGGGGGAGGGCGGGTGGATGGGGCTCCCCCGTGCCCAAGGTGCGGGGCAGGGTTGAAGGCAGTCCGGAGCCAGCATCTGGGGAAGCCTGTCTTGGGCTGCAGGCAAAGAGAAGGCTCAGGAAGCCTGAGAGCGCCCTTGGGAGGCTCTGCCAGCAGGGGAATCAGGGACTGCTGTGAGGAAGGGCAGGGCCAGCCCAGCGAAGGGGGCAGGGTGGGGGAGAAGGGTCTAGAAGAGTGGTGCAGCAAGAAGAGGAGGGGTGGAGCTCAGGCTGCAGAGAGCAGGCCCTCCAGGAGGGTTGATCCAGCTACTTGGGGCCATGGCCCCCACTGTGGCGCAGGGTGGCGGCTGGGGGAAGGATAGGGGCTGCCACCTCTACTTCAAGACCCTCCAGCTGGGGCCACTTAGGCCCCTCACCCCACTGCTCAGAGACCCCAGGGCCCTGCCTCTGCCGGAGTGCCCTGTGGCCCTGCCCAACCGGCTCAGCTTTGGCCTGTCCTCAGCCGCTCCGGTCTGCACCTTGGTCCAGCAGGGGTTGCCCACCAGGCAGCAGGGCCGGGTGGACGGACAGGAGGCCCAGGGTTGGGCAGTCTCTGGGGCGGGTGGGCTTCCCTCAGGCCTTCCCGAGCAGCAGGACTCATCAGTGTCCTTGGCCGGGCTAACTGGGCAGGTGGGCGCCTCCGGGGGCCTCACACCACGGTGCTGACCGAGGGATCTGAGAGGTTGAGCGGGCCCGTGATATCAGTGGGATGGTACTGCTGCAAAATAGAAATACACAGACAAGGCAGCCCGTTAGCCCGGACGCCGGGGGGCACGCGCGGGGCCGGGACAAGGTGGACCGGCCAGCCGGCCGACCGGCGGGTGGGCGGGCAGGCGCGGCCTGGGGCAGGCTGGGGGTGCTCCTCCCCCGACCCCGTTGTGCTCCGGGGTTCTGCGTGGGCCGGGCCGCTGTCCCGTGCGTCTGTCTGTCTGTCTGCGGGGGAGGGGCAGAGGAGGGCGGGCGGGGCGTCTCAGCTCTCCCTATGACGGGAACACAGCTGCAGCTGGCCCTCCTCCCTCTCAATAGCGCGTCGCGGCAGCACTGTGTCTTTTTGGTTTTGCAAAGCGCCGCGTCCACCCCCGGTGCTCTATAAATAAGAACCAACAATCAATACCCGCTGGCCCCCGCCGGCCGCCAGGGATCCCAGCCCTGAGTGCCCAGTGCTGCCCTGGCCCAGACCGGCCACAGGACAGGGGCAGAGGATCTCAGCAGCTGGACAGACCCCACCCCTCCCGAAGGAGCCCCCACCCAGGCCTCCCTCTGAACAGGCAGGCGCCCAGCCCCTGAGACAGGGCGGGAGCTGGGCTGCCCTCCCCCCCCATCCACCCAGTGGCTGTGCCCCAAGTCAACCCTGTAGGGCGGGGCCAGCCCCAGATGCCACCTGGCGTCAGGGCTGGCCCCGGAAGATGGTCCCTGGTGCCCAGGGAGGCTCGGGTGAGGATTCCACTGGGAATAAGTCCCCAGAAGGGCACCATGCAGGTCTCGGAGCTGCAGCTGGGCCAGCTCCAGAGAGGTCCCCAGAACTCGGTGCCATCCTCTGAGAGTGACCTATCAGCTGCAGGACTTTTGTGCTTCCCCACTTTGGCTACCTGACCCTAAAAGCACTGCTTCTCCTGTCTGCCAGATGTCCTGTTCCCCAGACAGGTCCAGCTCACAGTGTGCTTGGACCCTGCTCTACTTCCTGCTTCCTTGCGCCCCCTGGTGGGACTCCTGGCTCAGACCTGGCAGCATATCCCCTGCCCACTTTCCCAGCCTACGAGGCCCTAGGGATTGTAATTGCACCACTCCTGAAACGTCCAGTTGCTCCATTCACAGACCCTCATTCTCCCCACCGTCCCAGGGGTGCCAGCGTCTCCCAGGGGGATCAGAGCAGCCAGGCCTCAAGGGGCCCTCTCGGGGCCCCCAGGTGGTTTCACCCTGGGACTTGGACTGCTGTGTGCCACGTCTTGTCTGTACCCTGGAGATCTGCCTCTCTTCCTGTGCAAATCCTGACTCCTCCCTGGGACACACCCCTTCAGAGTGCTGCTATCCATGGATTGGGGGACTCCCTGTAGGCTGGAGGGTGCTGCTGAGCTGAGGTCTGTGTGGGTCCTCAGGGTTGCCTGGGGTCAGGGTGCCTCTAGCAAGGCCTGTCCCTTTTAGGAGTCTTTTGTCTGAGTGTGTGTTTCTTGTACAGTAACAAGCTGCATAAGCAGGAGGTAGGAGTGGTTCTAGCTTAAAAGGCAGAGGGTCTGGTTTACAGTGGCCCTGTGGGGTACCTGGGGGCCAGAGCTGAGGCTGGCCTTGGCCTCCTCTTCCTGGACCTCCCTCTGGGAACCTCATGTCATCCTGGGCACTGCAGGCCAAGGTTTGCAGGGCTACCATACCCGCTGTCAGACCCCTGGGGGTCACCACATCTCTGGCAGGGCCCTGCTCAGTTCAGGATGGAAACCACCCTTCTGGTCCCACCCTACTCCCCATCTGACATTCCCCTATGGCCAGGGGCCAATTCCAATGCTAGGCCCCAGCCGTCCACCCAGATGGACCCAGGCCCGGCCCCCAGCCCCCGGCCCACACAGAGACCACATGGAAGATGCAACACGCATGGCTCTGGTGAGACAGGTGAGACAGGTGTCTGGGGGGGGGCGGGGCCAGTGGCCAGACAGACGGACGGGATGGGACATCACAGCCACTCCCTCCAGGGCCATCACAGGGCAGGAGTGAAGGCAGCGGGCCCCTCTGGGGGAGATGAGAGAAACAGGGACGTTACAGAGAAGTGGTGTGGCCTCCTGGCAAGGGCAACCTGGGACATGGCCACTCTGGGCTCCCAGGTTCAGGTGAGGCCCAGAGAGGTGGTGAAGCTGACTGACTGACCAACAACATGAGACGGCTTCCAGATGGTGTGTGGGTCATGGTATGGGGGGTGAAAGGGGGCAGACTCGAGACACACGGGGGAAGTTGAGGAGCAGTGAGGGCCTGGAAGAGGTCTGAAAAGTCCTGGAGAACAGCACCGGTGTGTGTGGGGAGGGGAGTGGAGGGCTGACTCCTGCAGAGGCACAGATGGCCGGCGGTGGCGGTGGGGGGGGAGGCAAAGATGGGGGCAGGGGTGGGGTGGTAAGGAAGAGGGAGACAGACACGGGGACGAGGGAGGAGTTGGAGACGCGGGACTGGGGTGCTTCCCCCTTACCGTGTCTTTGGAGGACCTACGTCTCTTGAAGCTGGAGGCCAGGGTGGAGGTGATAGCCCTAAATGTGGCTTTCTTTTTAGGGTCAGGCTCTGCTCTACCACTCTTTCTATCCTAAAATGAATATGTATAAGTGATTAGATGGCTAAGGGTGGCGGCCACACCTGCCCTCGCCTGCTCCTCGGGGGCCGCTTCCAGGCCTGGCCGGCCACTTGGGCCCTCGCTCCTGCCTGCCTCCCTGTGCTGGACGGATGGACTGACAGCCGTGGCTTCTTCTGCCCGGGGTCTTGGGCCTGACCTTGCTTGTGCTGGGGCTGGGCTTGGGGTCCCGCTGGCTTTCTTCCTGGGAGGTTCGCCTGGCTCCCTGGCTCCTGGGTGGCCCTGGCTTACAGACGTCCCGAGGAGGGGAGGAACCTCGAACACTGGAGGCGCTGCCCCTCGGGCCACACCAGCCCTTCTGTTCAGAGGCTGCTGACCCCAAGGTGCACACATCAAGATTCAGAAGGGGCCAAAAGGCCCAAGGCAGATGTCGAGATGAAATTGAAAAGGTAGAGGCAGCTCCCAGGATGCTGGCCTGGAGTCTGATGGCTAGGGTGGCCCTGTGCCCACCAGCGAGAGCAGTGGCCAGGTCCCCAGGGGACCTGTGGGGCCAAGAGCAAGAGTGGGTAGATGAGAGGTGTGGGGACTCCAACGGCCCCGTCCCCCACAGCCCTCACTGCTATGCCAGTGTCATTTCAAGACACAGCTCCAGGAAGGCACCCAGAGAAAGAGAAGAGATGAGAGAACCGCAGCTTAACCATGGGCCACCAGCCTTCAGGCCTGCTCGAGCCCCACTGCCCACCCTGTCCCCATCCCTGGCTGTGACTGTACCCCATGCAGCCTTTCCCCTGCTGGCAGTTAATCCACATGGACGTGGGGCACCAGATGGGGGCAGGCGGCCCATTTGGATTTAGTCACAGAGCAGAAGGACACAGCAAGAAAGGGGGTTCCCCAAAGGTGTCAAGGGGACTTGGGTGGTAGAGGGCCAAATGCATCTCAGACTCACGTGCCACACACAGGTGGGCCCCTGTCTTACCCTGCCTGTTTGCCTTCCTATGGAATGGGTGCCGGCGGGTGACTCTGGAGACAGAGGGGCCAGGCAGAGGCTTGGAGCAGGGTACGTGACCGCCTGCAGGCAGCCTCCCACCAGTGCTGCCCCGGGAGCACTCACCACTGCCCCTGGCCATGGCTCCTAGCTCCAGTCCTGCCCATGGGAGCCAGTGCCACGGCCTGCGGGGATGGAGGAGGGCCGTGGCCAGGCCGGGCCCTGGGCGCCAGGCCTCGGAGGGTGGCCTGCCCTACCTGTAGGTTCTTCCTCCACACGTTCACTGCTGCGAAGGCCAGCTGCATCTGCTTCCTTCGGGCGTCCTTGTGTCTCTTGTAGGCAATCTCAATGAAAATCAGGAAGATCCCAGCCACAATGCCACCAGCCACCAGCATGAAGACCCCTGTGAACAGGACCTAGAGCCTCAGCTGCTGGCCCAGACAGATCCCGCAGCCCCTGAAGAACTGTCCCCACTGTCGGCACAGCTGTGGAGGGCAATGGAAGGCCCACCTGCCATGTTCTCGAAAGTGAGGGTTGCAGGGGCATTGCTGCGTGAGTCGCATTCCTGGTACCGGACCCATGTCTTGTCCAGGTCTTCCATGAAACCATTCTCGTGGGACCTGGGGTGCAGAAGTGTGTGAGCCAGCGTGGAGCTTGTAGGATGAGGTCTGGAGTGGGTGGTGCCCCCCCATAAGGAGCAATGCCCAGACTAGGTGAGGTCTACAGGAAGGGGCATGGGGGTGGAGGGGTAGGGCCTGGCAGGGAAGGTCAGTGGGATGCCTTTGCTGTGGCTAGGAACTGGGAAGGGAATCTGCTTTGTCTAGTGGGACTATGGAGAGGAGTGGAGAAGGGAGGTGAGGCTGCAGGCAGGTGGGTCAACTCACTTGAGTATGGACAGGGAGACATTCTGCTTCCAGGGGCTGTCCTTGCGCATTCCGATCCCAAAGCCAGAGCGGAAGAACAGCTCGCCTGTGGTCACCAGGTCACACTTCTGTGAAGCCTCGAACTCCAGCACCGCAGAGTCCCAGATGAAGGCATGGAGCTTGCTGTCGGAAGGAGCAGGGTCAGTGTGAGCATGGACCAGCACAGACACTCTTTGCTTCTCCGGTGTGAGTCACTGTCCAGTCCAGCCAGAGCAGCCCCCCATCTGTGTGCTCACTTGTCCCGCACAGCCTGGATGGCCTCGGCTGCACTCTCGTAGTTGTGCTTCTCCATGTGCCGGTACATGGTGCTCAGCTCCACCTGCCGCCGGAAGTAGATATCCACCGAGCTCTGCTTCACGGTCGCATAGATGAACTTGTCTGAGGGGTTCCTGAGCTGCAGAGGCAGAGAGCGGGGCTCGCGCCTGCTCCCCAGGCCCCACCTGAGGCAGAACTCTGCCCCTCCCCCAGCTTAGCCGGGCCTCACCCGCGGGTCATTGATGCCTGTGATGCGCTCCTCTGGTCGGTCCAGCACCAGGAAGGCTGCCAGGTTGGCAGTGTAGGAGGCCACAATGATCATGGCAAAGCCGGCCCACACCATGCCCAGGATACGTGCAGAGAAGCTTCGGGGGGCACCTGTGGGCAGAGACTCTGGTCAGCTCCTGCTGGGCAGGGGAAGGACAGGGCAGGGCCTAGGCATTGCCTCACCTTCTCCGATGCCAGAGTTGAGCAGGACGCCCCAGGAGAACCACATGGCAGAGGACAGGGTCAGTGCATCCTCCTCCTCCTCCTCACTGTTCACTTTGAATCGGCCAAAGGGACTGCGGGGTGTAGACGGCAGGTGGGAGAGAGGCCGGGAGAGGTGGCCCTGCCCCACTTCTGCCCAGCTCTGTCCACCCCATAGATGCTGCTGGCTCCTACGTGTGGCACTCACCTGAAGCGGTCCAGTAGGTACAGCATCACAGCCACCACGTGCACCGAGAGCCCCACCAGCAGCCACAGTGTGCTCTGAAAGGGCTGCATAAATGAGTCCAGCGTACTCCTCGGAATCTCCTGCAGGTGGACAGGCAGTCAGCACTGCCTGGACCCTCCAGGACCCTACCCAACTCCTACACAACCCCTGCCCACCTTCTTGACTAGAATGGTCAGGCCCTGATACTTGAAGGGCTTGGAGAATTCAATGTACTGCGCACGCTCATTGTTGATGGTCAGTGGTGCCACAATCATGTCTGCCTGCCCGCTGAGCAGCTCACCCATCATCCCGTTCCACTCCTTTTTGTTGCTGTTGTTCACCTGTGGGACAACAGATCCGGAGGGGCTACGAACAGGGTCCGCACAGCTCCTGAGACTGGACCTCCCACCACCAGAGTAGCCCTAACACATTGTTGGGGGTGGGAGATTTCCTGCTCCGGATGGAAGCCTAGGTCACAGGCCCTGCCCCAGCCTATAGGTCCCTCCCGTAAAGGATCTGTCCTAGTCTTCAAGCCCTTTCTGCTCCAGGCCGAGCCCCAACCTACAGATCCCTCCTACTGAGGCTCCGCCCAGCTTACAAGCCCCTCCCACTCCAGGACCCGCCCGAGCTCACAGGCCTGTCCCAGTAAGGCTATGCCCCAGCCTGCAGGCCCCTCCTACTAAGGCTCCACCCAGCCTGCAGGCCCCTCCCACCCAGGTCCAGCTCCTTCAGTCCACTCCGTACCCGCTCCTGCGTGCCAAACTTGCCATCTGCCACCAGGTGCACCTCATAGGTGAAGTTCATGGTACGGGCCAGCTTGATGAGCAGGTCGATGCAGAAACCATAGCAGCACTGCGGCACTGTGTGGCGCGCTGAGGGATTGGGAGAGGCGGTCGCTGCGGGTTCCTGGCTGTGCTGCCCCTCACCTTGCCCCGTCCTGCCCAGCCCAGCACTCACGGCTGCCTGGCGATGTGTCGTTGGGCCCGGTGCAGATCACCTTCTTGACGGGGTCACCGTTGACTGTGAACTCCTCCTTGCACGTCCCATCGCTCAGTGTGGGCTTGACATACACGAAGGGCTCCTGGTGGATGGTCACGATCTGAGGGGAAAGGGACACCCAGAGTAGACCACCGGCCTTTGGCTATCCCCAGACACTGGCCTCTTCTCAGCGCACAGAATGCCCCATGCTGCTCCAAATTGCCCCTGTCTAGAGCCTCTCCACAAGTTGTCAGGAGTCAGTTCACATCTTTCTGGCCACCGCAAGCAATGTCTGCCTGCTGTCTGCTGCCCTCCGGGGGACAGATACATGTTTGATAAAGTGGAACACAGACTCCCGACTGCCCACTGTGACTCATCAAAAGTGCCTCCTGAAACACTGTACCCTTCTATGGAGACTTCCTCTGGTCCTGGCTCACACATTACTCCCTCCATCAGAGTAGTCTATGGAAACGTCCAGTGGATCCTAGGTACATTTCTGACTGCTCAGGGAGGAAAAACTCCCCACCCCTGCGGAACCCATCCTTGCCCCATGCTTCACCACAAGGACAGGGGTGTGTCCACTGTCCACTGAAGTGACCCACGAGGGCATTCTGAATTTCGTTCACTTGTCTCCTGCCTCTCCTGGCCCTCCACCTGCCGATGGCCCACAGGTTCTGACACAAAGCCTTCAGTCTTCAATCCTAATAGTCTGTTCCTTCCCCTCTCTCTTGTTGATGTTCCTCTTTAATGGCCTGCCTCTTCAGCCCACTCTCAGTTTTATCTGTCATCCCTCACTGTCCTTTAGGACCACAGTCTGATAGTGTGTGTGTAGGGGCAGATACAGGCCCCAGGGGTGCCGAAGTAGAGCACAATATATTGATAAGGGGTTCTGGGAGGGGGTGGGAGAACAGAGGGGCAGGCAGTTCAGGCAGGACTGTACATCAAAGGCAAGGGGGCAAGACAGGCAGTGGGGTGTTGGAGAGGAGGAGCCAGGAGAGGCGCACATTACCCAGCCTCACCTAAAGGGCAACATGTTGGCTTTTATCCCAGGGGAGGGAGGAATTGTGAGCTCTTGAACAAGCTTATTTTCTTTAAAAATTTTAATTGTTTGTTTATTATATAAGCAGTATATGCTAGTACTTTTTATTTTCTTTTTCTTTTTTATGCTAGTACTCTTTAAAAAAAGTGAGATAATTGGGTATAGTGGTGCACACCTGTCATCCTAGGCTACATGGGAGGATGAGATCAGGAGGATCACAGTTCCAGGACAGGCAAAACATTTCATAAGACCCTATCTCAATGGAAAAAATCTGAGCATGGTGGCACATGCATGTCATCTAAGCTCCAGTGAGAAGCATAAAATGGGAGGATCGAGGTCTGGGATGGCCTGGATGAAAAACAAGACCCTATCTCCAAAATAACCAGAGCAAAAAGGCCTGGAAGTACGGTTCAAGTGGTAGAGAGCCTGACTAGCAAACACAAAGCCTTGAGTCCAAACTCCAGTACCACCAAAAAACAAACAAACAAACAAACAAACAAAAAAAACTGTGAGGCCAAAAACAAAGTTTTAAACAGGGTCTGCACCTTAGCGCCTCAATGAGACCCCTGTCCACCGGTGTTTTGACTATAAGTTTCAGACTTTTCAACACCAAGTGCCTAAGCTGAAAGGAGACACCACACTAGCACTGGAAAAGCCCATCTTGTTCAAAGGGAAAGGCAGGCAATGACAAAGGGATCCCGGGGCAAGGCCATGGGGGCTGTCCCCAGGATCCAGGGGTGAGCTCAGAAAGCAGACAGTGCTGAGATGACCTGGAGACACCAGGAGAAGGTAGTTGGGCACATTGTACTTAAGGTCCTGCCTTTGGTGGTCTATGACATGCTGGTGTGGGTGTGATGTGGCCCAGCATGGGAGAAACTCTCAGAACAGCACCTAGAAAGAAAAAGTCCCATGGATGAGTCCAAGGGGTATGTAGAAAGGCTGAAGGAAAGGTGCTATGTGGAGGCCCAGGGAAGAGATGGGCCACCTGGAGGAGAGAGGACATGTGTGGAGGGCCAGGACTCAGAACAGTGAATGTTGAAGCCAAGGCCTGGAAGGAGTGGCCACCAGGTTCTCCCTCTGTCCCCTTTCAGATCTTCCCCACACTTAATTGGGGCTGGGTTGCAATAGGGTGCTGGAGAGAGACTGTTGGGTGGGGTCAGCTGCTTCCTCTCCTCTTTTCACTTTCTCTTGGAGGATTGGGATTTGGGGGTGGGGTGGGGTACTGGGGTGTATCTGGGGTCCCCACCTTTAGTCTGGTGGACATCTGGTACCCACGAGGCCGCTCTGTCTCTCCTCCTGGCCATATGATCTTCCTGTCATTAGGGATGACCTGGGGGTGGGAGTATGAGATGGAGGGTGGCCACGCAGGGGTCTTGGCCCCAGGACCCTAAGGCCCCAGCCCCCACCCCCTCATGACCCCCACCTACATGGGTGCCATTGTAGACGCCCACTTGCACCAGCTTGCGGTTCTGCAGGTTCATAATGCTGTAGTTGGCAAACTTCCGGTCCCCATCCTCATTGAACTCCACACGGCCAGTCACGCCCTCTGCGTACTTGGAAGACATCAGCACCCTGGGAGGGCAGCATGGTTTAGATCTATCAGGGAAGCTCCTTCCTCCTGGCCTCCTGAGCAGCCTGAGCCCCTCCACGTGCCCTTGTTCCAAGGCAGGAAAGATCGGCAGATGGCAGACCCTCACGCTGAGTGGTGGACACCATGCTGTCAGCCTGCACTAGATGGACAGCACAGCCAGTGACAGCTGAGTGAATCCTAGGTACCAGACCCTGTGTTGAAGGCTTTCTGTGGGTTAGTACATTTGCTTCTCGTGGCAGCCATCCTGGTTTTACAGAGAAGGAGGCAGAAGTCCACAGGACTACAGGCCCACTTGCAGCAAGCGGGGAGTCAGATTGGGCCTGGCATCTGCTCTAACCAACAGGCAGTCCTATCTGGCCGTGTGTGCACACATGTGCGTTGTTCTCATTGGGACATATTAATGACCCTGGGTGCAGATGTGACCCCTATGTGGGGTGCACCCCTGTGCATGTGCCCGTGGTACACGTGTCATGTGCCTCTCTGAGTCTCTGTGCACACACGGGTCTGTGTACATGTGTGCACGTTTGTGTGAATGTGCAGCCTACATAGCCCCGATGCCTGTGCACCTGTGGGAACCACAGACAGTGACTCTGGATGGCCTGCTGGCCAGGAATGCTGTGAGTTAACTCCTGCCCCACTACACTTATTCCTTTGGGTCTCTGGGCTTCAGCCAACTCTGGCTATCAGCTCAGGGACTCCTGAGTCCCTAGAATCTTCAGGCCCTGCCTGCAGCAAGAGCCTCCTCCCAAGGGCTGCCAGCCATTGTGGGGGGTAGGGTGCAGACTCAGGGTTGACTGAGTTTGGACAAGTGGAGTGGAGCAGTGGAGGCAGAGCGACTTCATTGACAGTTGAGGTATAGGCGTCAGTATTAGGAAAAAGGGCGGACGATTATCACAGTAAAGACAGTGGTGGTGGTACCAGGAAGGTGAGGGGAGAGAAGGGAGGAGAGGGAGGCGACTGTGTCCATAGGATATCTGCAACAGGACCCGCCGGGCCACCCTCTGAGCAGTGTCCCACCCTCGCCCACTAATTCAAGAGCGGCCCCGCCCACCCCCCT